TACCCCTCCCCCCCCCCCACCACACACACACACTTTTGGAATACACCAGGTTGCACCAACTGGGATATATTTTCAGAAAGCTGCCTTGAGACAGGTTATCTCCGGCTTACCTTACAAAGTCCTGATCCAAAGCCCATTGAAGTCAGTAGGAGTCATTGACTTCATTCATGTCCCAAGTGCTTTTTACCCTCTTGGAGCACTGGAGGTGCATCTTACTCGCCATAAAAACTTTTCCAAAATGGCATCTCTGCCTTTCAGCCTTCACTCTTTGCCCTTTGATTTTTTTTTTAAGCTGTACACGTGTATTCCTAAGAAACTCCACTCCAAATTCAGGATAAACTCATGCTTCCTCTGCTTGCCAGAGGAAAATGAAAAGTAAAGCTCCATCAATTTTATTGCTCATAATTGCAGATAAAATGCAATATATTTGGCTCATATAAATTTGCTAGCAAATTATATTCAATAAAACCCTGGTGTGCAATTTAAAGGCATAAATCCCCCCATGCTGAATAAAAGCTCATAAATTATACAAGAAAAAGGAGTGATTTCATCAAAGAGCCAAGCGCTGCCCATGGAATGTTTCAATTGTACTGAATTTATAGTTTTCTGAGGGGCGATTTATGAGCCCTAATTTTCTGCAATAAAAAGCTCAGCAGGGATTCTCCGAATGAAATATCTTTTGAAACAGAAATAAATAAAAAATCCCTGTGAGAGTGAGTGCAGACAGTGCTGTATTTGGAGAGCTACCCCTTTGTGGGACTGTTCCAGAATTAATCATGGAAGACCCTAATAAAGATTGCACAGTGAGAAAAGATCATTTCTCTTGAAAATAAATGTATTGCCCAGATGGAAAGAGCATTTTTAGTCATAAATTTATCTGTGATACTTCAGGACTCTTTACCTTTACATTAGAATAATATAGTTAGATGTATTTAAACAAAAGTTAAACATTTTAAAGAAGAACATGTGTATACATATATTATATAAATATCTAGATGCACCGACTGTATGTGAATCTATCCACGTATGTGTCATACACATACACACATACCCAATCTATCCATCAAAATACTCATATGACTCTTATTACCATAGTACGAGTGCCTCACAAACATTTAATTAATTCATCCTCACCATATGCACTACCATAATAAACATAATTAACAACACCACTCAGGTGAGATAAGGAAGTATTATTCCCATTTTACAAAAGGAAAATTGAGGCATGAAAAGACTGAGTGACTTATGCAAGATCACACAGGAAGATGGCAAAGGAACACAATATCTTGTGCTCCAAGCCATTGCCTCATCCATAAGATAGTTCTTCCTCTCCATCATAGTATTTTCCCATGACAATAGCTTTTAGTAAATACCAAGATATATGGGAATTTGATGTATGCCGGGTAAATGCTTTTTTTGTACGTAATAAAATACTCTAAACTTATACTTTTGTGACTTTTGCTCAAGAAACTCAAAGTAATATCCTTGACAAGCAGGATATCAATACATGCTACAATGCTTTAGACTCTAAAACTGAAAGTACTATTCAGATCAAGAATCTCTCAATGAAGAGCTGGTATTGTTAGTAATGACCAGCCAGCAAAAATGTTGGCAAAAGCGTGTAGTACAGAAAACATTTCACTGGCCATTGTCTTTGCCATCAGGTGTTCTGAAATTGAATGAGAACCACTGAGAAACTTGAGTTCAAGTAGCTACCCTTTATATTGCACAGCAGTCTCAGGCAGAGAAGATCCAAGGCGAGGGGGTAGAGATGTAAGACAATTCAGTATGTGACAAATGTTTTTTCAGAAGATGAGTTTAAGTATGCAGTGCAGCCCTTAAAGATAGACAATTTGTACAGAACTGAGGCAGAACTGTGTGCCAGCTGGCTGAAAGGAAGGAAATTTGTCCTAAGAAAGATAATTTGTGAGTATTAACTGTGCTGGTTTTGCTCTTTAGTATCTATCTCTGCTCCAAAATATTCTACAGGTACTGGATGTATTGAGAGTATTGTAGACTAGGATAATGTATTAGTCCTGTCTCTTGGACCTCTCATTTTTCTCCTAAATAGAAAATAATTCTCTAATCCAAAATTTCCTGAGTGTTCATAAAAGGTGACAATATGCTCACAGCCTTTTGCTGTGGCATAATATGAGATCAATCAGAGCTGACAGTCCATCTCCACTCCTCCTGAGTTTGTTGTTTATCAGTTGCCACTGTCTCTTTTCCACATCAGGAAGTAGATTAGATAGATAGGTGTGTGTGTGTCCATATCTGAGTATTTCAGTAAACTATTGACACTTATTCTGCGTATCATTCAATCCATACCCCACAATATAGACTCCAGATGGAGTATTCACATATGGCCATATATTAACACATCTATTTGGCACGTCAGTCAGCAGAGAGGTAGTGTTTTCTCATGCAGACAGTGGTAACTGGCTTTAGTACTGAATAACAACAAAATTTATCTGACATAATAAGTAAAAACATCCCTACAGAACAAAAGCTCCCCACAAAATAAAGTCATTCAAAACTGGAACTCTTGCAGCCTGTGAGTCGTCTGGCTGCGTTGAATTCCAGAGATGAAAATCTTTATATATATAAAGCTAATGTTTAGCTTTAAATAAATGGGATTGACCTATGATATCCCAGGTCCTATTCTATGCTCTGCAGTAGTCAAATAATTCTGACTGACCTCAGTAGGAGTTATTCTTATCCAGTGTGGGGAAAAATAGAGACTTTTGAAAGATTCCATCTATGCTCCAGATTAAGACTTTGTAACAACCAAAAGTAGATGCCACCTCTAGAGAGTCCATTCCAGATATTACTGAAGTTCCAGTATATGCTGGGCCCAGACTTTAGAAGTTTTAGGTGATTCAGTGTAGAAGCCCAGTAAGTATGCTCAATAAAGCTAGTTGTTATTTACCTTGTAACTTTGCCACACTATATAAATTCCAGGTTTCCCAATGACCTGAGATGACAAATGCAGAAGGATTTTGAAACAAATCTCTGACTATTGGTACCTAGAATGCTGGGCTATGTACCTGAAATAGGTTACACTTGAGGAAGTGATGAGACTATGATGTATGACAAAAGACTCTATTTTAAATCCCCGTTTTAGTCCTGATCACCACAATATAAATAACTTGGCCCACTTGAAAAAGTACAGAGAGGGACTGAAAGTTTATTCCAGTATATAAAAGGTGCATGGGAGAACATTAGTGGAAGAAAAACAACTACCAAAAAAAAGGATAGTAAGGCATATAATAGCAATTCAGAAGTGGATGCTAAAAAATGTTTATAGTGTGTGGAAAATAAAGACGACTACCAAGAACAAACTCTACCAAGGGAAATGTTGGATGTTCCGTCTCTTCAATGTTTTCAGATCAAGGGTGGATACCTTCTGGAAGATATGCTTTAGCCGAACAAGTTATTGGGCTCAGTACAATAGTAACTGGTTAAATGTAATGGCCTGTGATATACAGGAGGTCATACTAGATGATCTAGGGGTCCTTTCTGGCCTTAAACTCTACAAATCTATAATGGGCCAAGTTCTGCACTCAGTTACCTGAGTGGGAGGATGGGACTGCAACCTGGAGCAACCCCAGTCCAAATCAACTGACTTCAGTGGAATAGGATAAATATAATTCAGGACAAGATTTTTGTCCAATAAGTTCTTTCTAACATATTTTGTATGATAGGACAGAAGGGCATGTTTGGAAATTAAAAGAAAAAACAATTTCAAAACACATTATGATTTGGCGCAACACATCTCCTGCTTCAGGGAAGGTCAGATCTCAGCTGACCTATTTGTCATCTGTAAACCCACTTTAATGAATCAATGAGCTGCACCCTAAATGACAATTAAAACCAGAGGCTTTGGCGTTCTGATTAACCTCCAGTCTCACCCCTGAATGCTCCAAGGTTACAGGGTTTAGTTTCTTCACAGGGATTCTGATGTTAGCTAGGTAGAAAGTGGGAACTGACCTCTTTTAACAAACAGACACTGAAACGTGCACATGAACTGAAATCTGCTAGGAACAGAGGGACAAGACAATGAACTAGGCCAGTAAATCCCAAGAGATCTACAGCTTGGCAAGGGAGCAACCCAGAGCTTTGGATCACAGGACTGACCAACAGTTAATCATGAGTGAAGCCAGCAAGTTGAGATGCCAGGAAATGTAAGCACCATCCAGTTAGATTTAATGCAAAGCTTTTATTATTTCTGAGGACTCAGCAGTGTAGTAGGCCCTTCACAAAACAAGTACAGACATGGTCCCCGCCTGGAACAGCCCACAATTCAGTGAGAGTCATAAAGGGCCAAAAATGGGGGCAGAGGAGAGGAAGGACGTGCATGACAATGAGATTGTTTGGTTATTTAATAAGGCATGAACATATCTTGAGGGATCTGAAATTTAGATGTCTTACTATTAATTATTATTTCTTTCCCCATTTGTAGGCATGGTGGTAGAAGTGAGTTTTAAAGAGAAATTTGATTTGAAGGAGGAGAGTGAAGTTTGGGAAGCATAGACCTAGGGAGCAGCATGGAAGAAAGCATGGAGATGGGAGCCGGAGAATGGAGCTAACGACACATCAAGGCTGGTTCCACTGGTGGAATAGAGGGGATGTGTTTCGGGGTGGGGAAATACAAATGGAGGCAAAGTCAGAGAATAAGGTAGGGGCTGAGTGATGCACGGCCTCGAATGCAAAGACAAAGCTGCAGCTTGATTCACAGAGCAAGGAGGAGCTGGTGGAGGGATTCAAAGGTGTGATGTGGTCAAAAAAATAAGTGAGGGAAAAGATTTTGGCAGCAGCACTTTGAATCTATAGGAATGCTTCAACTACTTGGAATTAACACTGAATATAAGGGAAAGCATTCCACAGTAGTGAGGTCTATTAAACTGTAGAATAGTTTCCCCAAATGAAGTTCTGGAAGCCCCATTACCACAATCAATCAAAACTAGATAGTGATGAATATAGTATAGGAAACAATCCTGCATAGCCAAAGGGATGGAACTATATGCCCTATGTCTTCTTTGTAGGATTCCAGTGTAAACGAATTCATAAGAAACCAGAGAAAAATACCTGGGTGAAGTGCACCAATCTGCCACGTGCCTGTACATCCTCTGTGGTGACCATCTCTCTCTCACAGATTCTGTGTTATGAGGAGACAAGCTGGCAGTAATACACATGCCAAACCACCGATATCAAGCTCCTTGATTTGTTAGGAAATAATCCAATGCCTTTCCAGCAAAACATTTCACTCCTTCCACGCCCCTTCAATATGGAAAAATTCCTCTCTGA